TGTTTTTATGCCCCCGCACTCTCATTCGACCATCTGTAACGTGGAGGAGGAACCTGCTCTCATCTGACCAGTGGACCCTCCTCCATGTCCTCAGGTTCCACTGCAGACGGGCCATACACCACTCCAGACGTCGTCTCTTAAGGAGATCAGACAGAGCAGGACGTTTGATGACTCTTCTGAACCTCATACCTAGTGCTCTAAGGCGATTTCTGACGGTTCTGGTGGATAATTGTCTGTAGGGTAACCACAGGCGCTTCAAACCTGAACTTGTGGCAAAGGGTTCTCGCCTTACCAGACGTGCCAGGCTGCGATCATCACGGGCCGTTGTCTTCCTGGGTTGTCCAGGCCTTGAACGATCTTTCACATCACCTGTCATCTGATGTTTCGGGCAAGTCGGCTGATGACCGAGTGACTGTAGCCCAGTTGTCGTCCAATAGCTTTGAAAGACATGCCTGTTGCATGTATGCCTACAATTTGCCATCTTAGTGCTTCAGGAAGTCATCTCCTCGCCATTTCAGTATTCATTAATGGAGACAGTAACAAATGTGTCTGCTTTTATACCCATAAATTGCATATCAGAGCAACTGAATTTTTGGAAAAGTGTGGGTTGTATGCTTCACGTGCACAAGGGAACTGAAACACCTTTTTAGACTACTAGAGATGTGTTGTAATACAGAGATATCATTCATGTTTAACGATGGTTAACAGTTGCTCTACTATCATGAAATATATCAGGGGGTGCTTAATTAAGTTCCAGGTGTATACTTTGAATTATCACAGGTCCAACACAGTTGCAAAATGACTACTAAATAGAGATTTACACGGGACCAAGCTTTCACTTGCCAGTTCAATACATCAAAGTTGGAGACAAAATTCTTGACTGCAGTTCATTATATACTGAGTCAAAAAAGAAACTTCACATTCTTTCTGCAGGGCACTATAAAAGAACAAGAGATGTTAAGATGGTTAAATTGTTATTATTTAATTGCTGAGATCTGTGTGATGTACTCGATACACTGACAGTGCCATAATCAGTTCCATTAGGCTACACCGCCGTTCCAAAACATGGGTATACAGAATGTCAAGTCACAAGAATAAAAATGCGAAATTTCTCAGTTCAATATCGTGTATGTCCACCCCGCACATTCACAACTGCCAAACACTGTCTCCTCATCGACTGCCTGATGCTTGTGAACACGGGCTTTGGGATTCTGCGCCATTGCTCTTGCAAGGCAGCGCCAAGTTCCTGCAGATTCTGAGGTTGGTTCCTAAGACCACGAAGCCTACTCCCAAGTGCATCCCAAACATGCTCTATTGGATTAAGGTCAGGGGACCTTGATGGCCAATCCATGACGTTGATTCCAGCGTTTTGAAGGAAATTTCGTGTCAACATCGCGGTATGCGGCCGAGGATTATCATTCTGGAACTGTAGACCTGGGCCATGAGCCGCCTTGAAAGGAACGAGTTCAGGGGTGAGCACCTGGTCGCGATAAGCAGCAGCTGTGAGGTTTCCACGGATGACCAGAAGTCGGGAACGGTTGTTCCCACAGAAAGCACCTCACACCATGCAACTTTGCCCCCGAATCTGTTGACTTCCTGTACACAACATTGGGCATACCCAATGACGTCGTCTCCAGACTCTATGCCTGCCATCCACCTAATCTGAGGGTAAACCTTGAAAGCATTTATCATGACAGACATTCAAAAGTCTCACAATGACTCATGTGGAAATAACCTGTTCTACCTGGGAATCTAAACAGTGAGCTCAACATGACCTGTTGTAGACAGTATCAGTCCCAAATCCACACCATGCAGGGCTTATAAAGCTGAGGTTCTCTACGAAAGGTCTGGCCAACATCTACCAGTATTCAGTGTGGCTGCTATGGACAATTCGAAATTCCAAAACCAACAATCTTGAAAAGGTGATCAATATTATAGACCCAGACCTATGTTCTGTTCTTCAGTTAGCATGCTAACTGACTAACTGCTATACACCAAGGGGGCGGTAGGGTAGCCTAATGGTCAAAGCGTCCGCTGGTCACACGGAAGGCCGGGTTCAATTCCCCATATGTGTGAAGCTCATTTCTGGTGTCCTCAGTGATTTTGCTGGAATATTGCATAAAACCATACTCACTCACTCACTATACACCAAGGCATAAAACTTAAGATGTCACTTGTCCGCTTTTGACTTACTGAGTTACAACGCCACATATTGTATCTTTATTCTATCTCAAATACTCGCATGAACTTGCAGCAATAACAGGGTCTGAAATTCCAATAGAAAAGAAACAGTAAAACATTCATTTATTTTATATAAATCATATTATAACATTTATGATGAATACCAACACCAGTAATATATGTTATTACTTTTCCAGAAAACTGCATGTAAATCCTTTTGGGGACATAAAGAAGTTGGACATGTAAGCACTAGGTTACCCAGATTATCAGGTATATTTACCTCCATGCTATAATAATACGTATTCATTATAATTAGAAGGCAATATAAAACACTCAACTATAATAAAGTAGATACTGATGTTAACCTCCCGTACCTTATGAAATTTATGACATGACTGCATAACAACAACGTCTACTTACAGAGCCATCCCGAAGCTATACTTTCTTTAACAAGAGTTCAGTGTCAATTCTCATGTGAATATATAGGCCACACTTACTTCATGGTTTACCGATTTTTCCAAACCCACATGAAGGGCAGGTCAATTTTTTTTTTTAAATTTCAAGCTATAAACACTCGAACCCCTCTTTGACAAAGAACATGAGTAGAGTGTCAAATTCTAATGTGAATATCTAGGCCAACACATACTTCATGGTTTAAAGATTTCGCCAAACCCACTATCAGTGTAGGTCAAAATTATTGTTTTCAAATGTTGTGGCAAAGTTGAAGGGACTTATGTAAATACTTTGAATTATCACAGGTCCAACATAGCTGCAAAATGACTACTAAATAGAGATTTACACGGTACCAAGCTTTCACTTTAGACAACTGCCAGTTCAATACATCAAAGTTGGAGACAAATTCTTGACTGCAGTTCATTATATTTTCCTTATAATCTGCATCAGTGCTAATACTTGTTTAAGTGCATGCTGTATACCATCACGGCACTGCGACACATACAGTACAACCAGAAATTATTGAGAATTTAAAGATTGTAATTTTTTTTATTTTTTTCACTCATTACTCATGTATTAAATGTGAATATTAGCAGAACATAACTCCAGATTCAAAGACAGGTGAACAGTTAGTATTTTGTCAAGTCACCATGGTCAGCAATGCAGGCTTCAATGCGGCGGGGCATACTACTGATCAAAGAAGTTAGAAAGTCGTGGTCCATGCTGTCCCAATATCGGACCACCTCTTCTTTCATTTCAGCAATATTTGTCAGATTTTTCTTATTGACACTTTCCTTCATAAGTCCCCAAACATTTTCTATTGGATTTAGGTCAGGGCTATAGCTTGGCCAATCTAATAATGTCATATTTTGGGTTCGAAACCAGGCCTGTGAATGCTTTGAACGATGTTTTGGGTCGTTGTCCTGCCGGAAAATCAAAACATTTCCATAGAACACGTGAGCAGATGGAAGTAATTGTCCGTCGAGAATATCTGTGTACCGCTCACTGTTCATATTCCCTTCAAATACACAGAGGGGTGTTACTCCTAACACAGACATGCCACCCCACATGTGAAATTTCGGACTGTACTTTGGGCGCTGATACAAAGGTTTTTCAGTTTGTTTGGTCCAGAATTTCAGTGTATTAGGAAACAGCCACACAGAACTTTCATCTGAGAAAAATCACATTGTCCCAGTTAAAATTTCTATGCTGTAAGCTCCAGTTCAACCTTCGCTCCTTTTGTTCAGGTTTCATGATCGGTGATGGAATTCCTCGACTTTTCTGCCAACCCATTGCATGCAGCTCAGTTCTAATTGTCTCCTTACAGACAGCCACAGTTCCTCTATCAATCATATCCAGCCTTAAGTTTTCTAAACTCCTTCGTTTGTTTTTAGAAACAAGAATACCAAGCCGCCTCCTGTCACCGACAGTCAATTTTCTGGGCCTACCTGCGCCTCCCTGGTGCTCAATGCCATATCCATTTGCAATATTTTTCAAAAACACGATAAACAGTGGACAAAGGGATGCCTGTTCTACTTGAAATCACTTTAGCTGATCTGATGTCCTTGTTATAATACTCTAAAATCAACTTCCTCTTCTCTAAATCATCAATACTGAGGATCACTGAAAATGTCGTCTGTTAGCAAGTAAACTAATGGGGATAACTCTTCACAAACTAATGAAAGGATTAACAGAGTTGTCTCTCTTGAATGAAACCAAGCACTTGATAGCTGGTCAAGGTTGTTTATACTAGAAATCCAATTAAACATATTCTTAAAATTCTCAATAATTTCTGGTCATACTATACTATTGCATTGTAGTCCTCTGAAGCCAAAGAATATATAGCTTGCATTTGATTCAGTACAAATAAAATTAACACTTAAATAATGCTTGATTTTCATTTTTCTAATCCTTTTCTTTATTATGGATAACTTAACATTCTTTATTTCAACAAAATCATTGACTGGAGTTCTGGGTGCCATTGCACACAGCGATCTTTAGCACTATGGTGATCGTAACTCCCATACCTTAACACAGACTTACGACTGGCACAGCACTAAGGTTGCTTTGTACAACGGCACCCTGGTCCATCACATGGCTGTCAGGTTGATTTACATGCCACCATCACATACAAGGGATTCTGCTGTTCCACCAAGTACACCATACGTTTCTATGCCAACTGTGTTAGTGGAGGGAGCTACTGGTAATGCTACTGGACATGTTTATCATATAATTGAGAGTGGTTTATGATTCTCTCTATTGATTATATTACCGTCAGTTATACAGATTTAGTGCCAGGGTTCTGTAGCTCACCTGCATAGTGATTGAACACATGTTGCTATTAGTAATCATGTTCAAGTATTTTCTGCATAAATACTGAGGACTAAATATAAATAGCAGAGGTAAGGTTAAATGTTAACTCACTTTAATGAGAACTAACTTCTGATACTAATATGTAATGATCTCAAAACATTGAACAAAATATGATCAAAACGTACATGCTTAAGCTCCTTTGGTCTACTTATTTCAGTATAGTCCGGGAAGAAGTTTACAGAACCAAATATGCATTTTGAAACAATCTAAGATCATGGTCAAAATAACCTCCAAATATGTTTTTACATTTTGAACAAAAGTGACAGAAATCATGAATACATTTATCAGTTGATATGGTGGCCATATTGAAAACTGAATTTGACACAAATCTGTTGTGTCATCATTGGTAGGAACAAGCGTATGACTCGTCAGACATCCGTTGGTCCCTGAAGAGAAGATGTTTAAGACAAATTATACATGTTGCCTTTCCGTAGTTTCAATATTGCTAATGAAAGCCATGATTGATTTCTGAAGAAGATTCTTCAAACAATGTTGAAATTACATAACTGACCATCTCTTCAGCCAATTTCCCCTCTAAGTTTGGGAAAAAAGATTAACAAAGATATCAATGGAAAAAAAATGTTGAATTTTCAAGCAGTGAGTTCAACAACCTTGAATCTCTTCTGGTGCCAAACATTGACCCTATTGAATCATGAAACAATTTAAGAGAAAAATGCCAGGTGCCCAATTCACAAAGCGTTCATACCACTTAGGTGATTGTAATGCTTTATCAAAGACTTACGACTGTCACAGTGTTTTGGACACTTTGTGAATTAAGCCCCAGGAAAGGTTGCAATGACATACGCTCACACGCTGTGTAGTACCTGTGCCGACAACGACCCCTTCAGCATTACTTTGCATTTCCTTCTCAAATTTGGTAATACTAATACATTAATTTCCTGTTTCTTGTTTCCAGGGCAGCAGTATCACACATGCATGAGACTTCAGTTACACTAAGTTGAACACTCTAGCCTTATTCATCCAATCATCTCTGGGCAGGTAACAGCCACACACCACCCTCCTTCCTGAAAAGGAGGCTCTTCCATGTAACACCCTCCAATTGTTGACAAGCAGGACCATGCCTGGGTGGAGTTTGAGCCAAAACTCGTTAGCAGGGTTCTTGATGTAGGAGGCCAGTTTGGAGTATGCAGAGTAGAACCTGGGTATATCTCGTGGTGGAAGTGTGTCGAGGGGTGCCATGTCGTATGGGTTGAATCTGAAATCAGCCATTCTACATTTAGCCACTTACAGAAGGGCCGAAGCCATCTATCTTTCTACAGAATCACACGGATATGCTGTTGTGTACTTCTGTATATGGTGTACTGCAAAATATGTATTTCATTTAAACATTCCTCAAATTTATCAGGCTGTTAGTTTGCAGCAAGGTGTGTGGGTAAACATGTCCAACTGCCTGCTATTCTCCATGTGAATACTTGTCAACGATACTTATCTTAGCTAATAAACACACAGTACAGAATGTGGTTCCGTTCATCTCACTTGATCAAATATCAAATATACCCGTGAAGATCCGGGTTAGAATTGGTCTTCAACAACCCATGCTTATCGTAAGAGGCAACTAATGGGATCGGGTGGTCAGGCTCACTGACATGGTTGACATATCGATCGATCGGGTAGTTGGATGCTTGTAGTGTTGATCACTGGATTGTCAGGTCCAGCCTTGATTATTTACAGACCGCCACCATGTAGCTGGAATACTGCTGAGTGTGGTGTTAAAAAACAAACAAACAAAACATCATCCAATCACTGAGTTCATCTCACCTGATAAGCATCAAGTCGTTTGAGCCGGGATGTACACGCAGGATGGTCCCATGACTCAGGATGTGATTCCTGTTCCACTCCTTATACTCATGTGAAATCTCAACTTGAGTTAGGAACTGAAAGTCTTCGGGATGATCTCTGCGGAACTGTTCAGCTGCGTGGAACCCATCCACCAACAGTGTATCACCGCCCTTCCCATCATGCCACAAGCAGTGAAACACCTGGATCCTTGTAACAAACACAGAAAAACAGAAGTTCAACATGCAAGAAATATGTCTTCTTCTGTGTCCTCCAGAAACAGCACCAAGGCACTGTAGCTCACCTACTGGCAAACAAGGATAAGTTGGACCGGCGTAGAGAACGCGTTTACCAGAAGCAGGCGGTGCACGGCAATGAGCAAACCCATTTTGTTTGTGAAAGGTAGAGCAAATGTAGGCTAGTGCACGTGCATTGCATGACTATGAAATTGAGGTGAGTTTTTTTGGGGAGGTTTGGTTGGGTTTCCAGTTTGGGGCGAAGTTTTGCCACCTATTCAAAGTCTTTTCGAAAATGGTGTTCTACTACCTTCAATATTGTTCCATTGAATCAAAACATGATAATGTAAAAATGATAATAATTATGTCTGAAATAATTAAAATAGCTAAAACAGAACCTAGTTGATCCTTACCCTGCAGGCAAGTTCAAGTATGTAGTATCTGTGTGAGCTCCTAGGAACAGGTTGGTATAAGCTGTATCACTTCGCTGGAGGTCAGAGGTAAAGCTCCACATACGTCCAAACACACTCTCCTGAAGGAACGTGATTCTCTCCACAGTTTCCTGAGTATCTTTAATGGATGCCTCAACCTGTTGCAACATCAATAGTTTTGGAAAGTTTTCGGGATTTATCTTCATTACTCGTAATATATAAGCGGATTGTTTTAATATATCTTAATGGTTTTTTATAGATCACCTGCTTATGTGGTGAAACACCTATCGTAGAAGTTCTACTGACATCCATCTAATCTTTCTCACAACACCATCATCCCCCCTACACACACACATAGACAATTATCCAGTCACTCATTATGGCATACTTGGCTACCTCCAAGTCATGTAGAACTACAAACACACAAACTCAAACACAACCAGTACAACTTCTGCTCACACAGAGACACAGACTCACACACATGCATACTCACCACTCACTCACCAAAATGACTCACTCAACACAACATATTAACTCACCATAATGACTTGCCATGACACACTAACTCACCATGACACACTGACTCACCATGATAGACTAACTCATATGACACACTAATTTGCAATGACACACAAACTCACCATGACACAGTGACCCACCATGATAGACTAACTCATATGACACACTAACTTGCCATGACACACTGACTCACCATGGCACACTAACTCACCATGACACAGTACCTGGCCATGACACACGGACTCACCATGACATATTAACTTGCCATGACACACTCTCACCATGACAAATTGACTCACCATGACACAGTGACTCACCATGACACAATGACTCACCATGACACATTGACTCACCATGACACACTACCTGGCCATGACACACTGACTCACCATGACACACTGACTCACCATGACACACTAACTCACCATGACACACTGACTCACCATGACATGCCAACTTGCCATACCACACTGACTGATAGACTAACTCACCATGATGCATTAATTTGCCATGACACACTGACTCACCATGACACACTAACTTGCCATACCACACTGACTCACCATGATAGACTAACTCACCATGATGCATTAATTTGCCATGACACACTGACTCACCATGACACACTAACTTGCCATACCACACTGACTCACCATGATAGACTAACTCACCATGATGCATTAATTTGCCATGACACACTGACTCACCATGACACACTAACTTGCCATACCACACTGACTCACCATGATAGACTAACTCACCATGATGCATTAATTTGCCATGACACACTGACTCACCATGACACTAACGCACCATGCCCCAACTCACCATGACACTGATTCATTAACTCTCACCATGCCCGCTAACTCACTCACACACTGACTCATCATGCTAACTCACTCACCATGATGCACTAACTCACCACAATGACCCGTTCACCATCATACACACATTCACTATAATGGCTAACTCCCCAGGATGACTCACCCCATCTATAACAGAGAATCCATACTTGAGGAGATTTTGCAAAGTTTTCTTGATGCCATCTCCTGAGTCATCGTTGTATGCGTCATAAGGTACTACTGGAAGTGGCTCCCTCTGGAGGGATTCTTTGTCCCACAAATAAAAAGGCGTCTTTGATTTTGATACGGTGGAGTAGCTGTGTTCCACCAGCCATGCTAGGTCGAAATGTGTGAGATGTCCGTCAGGCCCTGGATATTGACACATATACGTAACACAACATTATACACAAAGACAAGTAAAAGGTTAAGGCAGAAAACTCTTGGTTTGTTCACACTCGTGAAGACGCGGGTTAGAATTGGTCTTCAGCAATTCCATTCTTGTCATAAGAGACAGCTAACAAGATTGGGTAGTCAGACTCGCTGACTTGGTTGACACATGCCAATGTATTGCGTAGATCAATGCTCATGTTGATGATCACTGGATTGTCTGGTCTCGACTTGATTATTTACAAACCAATGCCACATAGCTGGAAAATAGCTGAGTGTGGCATTAAAAACAAACAAGCAACATTTGTTTTTCTTTCTAACTATGTAACGCTTGAAATGTAATCATTGTTTTGGAGTGAAAATCATTTCAGCATGTGAAAAAACAACACTATGACCTCATGTAATCTGTTTCTTGTTACTGTATTGCTCCCTCCCAAATAAGCTCAAAAATGTATCTTCTTGGGCGCTGGTTATACAATTGATTTAGCTTTCACTCCACTTCTAGCAATATTCCAGCAATGATAGTCAGTGACTTTCAAAATGGGACTGTACCTATGTGGGGCTTTTAACCATGTCCCAGTGTACAAAACAATCTTAGCACTTTGACTGTTGAAAGTCAGTAAGGTATGGGAGTTACTCTCACCTTAAGGCTATAATTGCTTTGTACAATCGACAACTACACTAACATATAGTCTCTGAAATGAACATATTTTACTGAAAAAGGGTTCCTAAATTATAATCATAAAAATATATTGAGCCCAGAGACTTTCCTCACTCTTGACTTGCATGGGCTTTCTTGGATATATTTGTTTCTCACCATGACACACTGACTCACCATGACATGCCAACTTGCCATACCACACTGACTGATAGACTAACTCACCATGATGCATTAATTTGCCATGACACACTGACTCACCATGACACACTAACTTGCCATACCACACTGACTCACCATGATAGACTAACTCACCATGATGCATTAATTTGCCATGACACACTGACTCACCATGACACACTAACTTGCCATACCACACTGACTCACCATGATAGACTAACTCACCATGATGCATTAATTTGCCATGACACACTGACTCACCATGACACACTAACTTGCCATACCACACTGACTCACCATGATAGACTAACTCACCATGATGCATTAATTTGCCATGACACACTGACTCACCATGACACACTAACGCACCATGCCCGCTAACTCACCATGACACACTGATTCATTATGACACTAACTCACCATGCCCGCTAACTCACCATGACACACTGACTCATCATGATACGCTAACTCACCATGACACACTAACTCACCACAATGACCCGTTCACCATCATACACACATTCACTATAATGGCTAACTCCCCAGGATGACTCACCCCATCTATAACAGAGAATCCATACTTGAGGAGATTTTGCAAAGTTTTCTTGATGCCATCTCCTGAGTCATCGTTGTATGCGTCATAAGGTACTACTGGAAGTGGCTCCCTCTGGAGGGATTCTTTGTCCCACAAATAAAAAGGCGTCTTTGATTTTGATACGGTGGAGTAGCTGTGTTCCACCAGCCATGCTAGGTCGAAATGTGTGAGATGTCCGTCAGGCCCTGGATATTGACACATATACGTAACACAACATTATACACAAAGACAAGTAAAAGGTTAAGGCAGAAAACTCTTGGTTTGTTCACACTCGTGAAGACGCGGGTTAGAATTGGTCTTCAGCAATTCCATTCTTGTCATAAGAGACAGCTAACAAGATTGGGTAGTCAGACTCGCTGACTTGGTTGACACATGCCAATGTATTGCGTAGATCAATGCTCATGTTGATGATCACTGGATTGTCTGGTCTCGACTTGATTATTTACAAACCAATGCCACATAGCTGGAAAATCGCTGAGTGTGGCATTAAAAAGCAAACAAGCAACATTTGTTTTCTTATAACTATGTAACGCTTGAAATGTAATCATTGTTTTTGGAGTGAAAATCATTTCAGCACGTGAAAAAAACAACACTATGACCTCATGTAATCTGTTTCTTGTTACTGTATTGCTCCCTCCCAAATAAGCTCAAAAATGTATCTTCTTGGACGCTGGTTATACAATTGATTTAGCTTTCACTCACTTCTAGCAATATTCCAGTCAGTGACTTTCAAAATGGGACTGTACCTATGTGGGGCTTTTAACCATGTCTATGCTAAATGGACTAATCCACACAAGCCAGGATGATACTCTTCTATATTTAATGTGACATAATGTGGACACTGGTCTTTGAGAAACTATGGTATAGTAATATTCTTTTTAAATACTAAAAGTAGTTTACTGTTGGCAATTTATGAAGTGTATTTTGGGCAAAAAACAATCTAAAATAAAAGTTTACATTTTTGGCCAATAAAACATTAGGATTATATTTTGTGAGCTGGCAAAATTAGTTTGAAAATATTATTGAAAAAAATATGACTGGTGGATCCGTAAAACAAGAAATAAAATTGGTCTGGCCTAAGAGCGTTTTTCGTGCCACTGTTTGTGACACAAATTATCAGGTATTTTACATAAACACTCTTGCACAGGATGTTTGTCAACACACATCTTATTTTAAATATTGGTATTAATATATACATTTATGATCCCATATATTTTTAAAATCATAATTCAATATTTATTGCACAGATAAAAAAATGGTATTCTCTCTTCTAAAGATCATGCTTGGAATCAGTCTTAAGCAGCTCATGCTTGTCAGCAACAGAAAATGGGTCCAGTTCATAAGTCCTTGCTCAAGTATTAAACCTTGCTACTATGACAAGCAGAAATTTGCCATTTTTAAAGAGTTTTCCGTGTGTTATAATTATAAGGACAGGTGGACTGAAGTCTTAGGCTGGCATGGGTGGCAACTATTGGGTGTACAGGCACACTGACTTGGTCGATGCAGTTTATTGTATCCCATCTGTCTATATCTATGGTGATTATGTTAATCACTGGAGTGACTGGTCAAGACACAAGGGTTTACAAAAGCATCATAGAGCTGGAATATAAATGAGTGTTTGTTTTGTCTTGTTTGTTGTTTAATGCCACACTCAGCAATATTCTTGCTATATGGCGGCGGTCTGTAAATATCTCAGTTGGTACCAGACAGTCCAGTGATCAACATCATGAGCATCGATCTTAGCAACTGGGATACCACCCAATCCCCTTAGTCGCCTCTTACAACAAGTATGGGTTGCTGAAGACCAGTTCTAATCCTTCACAAGTCTATTACTGAGTGAGTATGGTTTTACGCTGCTTAGTAATATTCCGGCAATATCACAGCAGTGGACACCAAAAATGGGCTTCACACTTTGTACCCATGTGGGGAATCGAAAGCGGATCCTCAGCCTGACAAGCGAACGCTTTAACCACTAGGCTACCCCACCAACCATGCTCCATTACTGAGTGAGTCAAGTTAACAAACAAGTTAATGAATGATATTAATAATTATTATAGCTAAAATACATGGAATTATCATGAAACGGCCCTCCCATTATCAGAAATTTGCGGTCCGCGGCCACTATCAGTTCTGTTGTCAAGTGACGTCATAGTGGGTGCGTGGGCTTATGGTTCATTCGACATTAATTGGCTTTCGACTGGCAGATATTCTGGGTCAAACAAGTCAAAGCAACCCGAATTCCAGCTTTAAATAGCGGTAATATTGGCTTTCTTGTTGGTGCTAACCTTAACAATTGCACTATTAAGACTGCTGATGGACCAAAACCGAATACTGACATAGTTTGACATGTTGCAGGCTATGGTCTTGTCAAAGGCCAAGGTCGAATATCGTCACTTTCTGTTGTGACGTCACTTGAATTGTTCGATGATGTAATTGCATTCGGGCAGTCAACCGCGTCATAAGTTGATTTGGGTAAACTTACAGTCAAATTCCTTCATTGTTTTCTTTTTCTTTTTAACACAAATTCCATGTATTTTAGCAATAATAAGGGTAATGCTATTTTTGAGGGCATTATCATTTGCAGAAGCCCTCGGTCTTTTTTCAACTGCCCTCCTTTGTCGGGCAGTTAATGGAAGACCTCAGGCTTCTGCAAATGATAATGCCCTCAAAAATAGCATTACCCTTATATGATACCTACATTCCAGCCTGAGTTGTTCCCCATCCTCTACCAGCTGGGTACTCTTAGGGGTTAGATCGTCTGACAGAGTGTAATTGTCCACATTCTTCTGAGAAGTGGTATGATTGTAGCAGATTTCGCACCGACAGTGATCTCGCAGCCAGATGTATGGCAGCTCAACCTCTTTGTCTCTGTATTGAATCAACAAATATCCATCATCCTTTTGCGAGACTGAAGATGCAAAACGGAACTGAATCGGATTTCTCGATTTTCTTGCAAAAAGACAAGTCCTCGGATGTTTCGGTGTGACATTAGCATATGACGGTAATCCTTTGACACTCTGGCAGAACACTGACTTAGTAGTGAGTTGTTTCAGTAAGAAGAGCAAACATTGGCTGTGTTTCCGGGCAGGTGGGTACCTCTTGGCAGTAAGGATTCTTGCTAAGGTGGAAAACATGGTTTGTTGTGGAAACACAATCATACGAAGCAGGTGTAGTCCAATCTTGAGACAACTCTGACAATGCTTGTAGAAATGAGGCCAGGGGCAGCTTCAAAATATCTAAAGCTGATAATCCAGTGATTTATCTCCTGATGTTTAGTGTTACTCAACTCCTGTGCTGTCATGTAATTCTGAAATAACAATGTAACAGGTGCTTGTATTAAAACAATAGATCCTTACATACTGCTGTAGATAATATTTACTACTTGCGTATGAAATTATCCCTTGGTTCTTGGTCAATATTTACCAGATTTTAGTCCTTCTGATAAGATAAAAATCTGATAAAAATGTCAATTTTCACTGTCTGCCATATACCTGTATTTTTCTTGTATTCAGCCACTAACAGACAATAAATAGCATTATTTCATGCATAAGTTTGAGTAATTAAATTGATTATAAGTTTGTTTTTAGCAATAAAATCTTTAAAATGGGATTAACATTTAATAATTTCTAACAAAATATACTGAAAACAGGGAATTTTTTTTAGAAGAAACTTTAATTTCTGTATTTAAATTTTTTAATTTTAATAGTTGATTTTAAGGAAATTTGCAATATATTGTTATTAAACTAGTAATAAATAACAAAAGTATAAATTTGCTATTGTTATGTCTACTATATTTGACATACAAAATAAAAAGACATGTCTTAACAGATACTGTTAAAAATTCCCTCCCGTCACAGAAATAAAAATTAGGGCAATGACCTGCATCCCACATTTCAAGAGGTAGTGGGTAGCCTAGTGGTTAAAGCGCTTGCTTGTCACACCGAAGACACAGGTTCGATTCCCCACATGGGTACAATGTGTAAAGCTCATTTCTGGTGTCCCCCGCCATGATGTTGCTGAAATATTGCTAAACTGGCGTAAAGCCATTTTCATTCACTCACTTACTCACAATTCAATCTATGAGCTGGAATAAAATTTCCCCTTCCTGACCTACCTATGGTGATTGTTTCTTGCCAGCAAAAAGCTTTAGAGCTGAGTCCATAGAGTACTGTTGATGTATGTCCCTCACATAACCATCCGTTTGGACATATTTTTCAGCTTGTTGACATGCCTAGTTGGGATAAGTTTCCCTGTGAATGATGCCATGTGGTTAATCCATTCCACAAGGACTGTTACTCAGTTTACGAACTAAAATACCTTCATCCTGCTGAAGTCTCTCAGCTGTTGCCATGGAATTATATTATACAGCAAACTATGTTGATAATGAACACGCTTAGAAATAGCTGAAGGATATTACAAGCTGTTCATTGGTCCTGGCCATTTACTGTATTTTGGTCAAAATACATAGAACAAACTATGGTCATAACAAACTAATTAGAGGTCCTGTTAAGTTTGTTATAACTGTTAGTAGTTTGGTTTGGTTGTTGTTTAACGCCGCACTCAGCATATTCCAGCTATATGGCGGCGGTCTGTAAAAAATCAAGTCTGGACCAGACAATCCAGCGACAAACATCATGAGCATCATTCCACACAACAGGGATACGATGACATGTGTGACGACCCGATCCCATTAGTTGCCTATTACGACAAGCATGGGTTGCTGAAGATCAATTCTAACCCGGACCTTCACGGGTCTATAACTGTTATTATAACATGCAGTGGCGGATCCAGAGGGGGGGTCAGGGGTTCAAACCCCAACCCCACCCCCAAAACCCCCACACAAAAAAACGACTAAAGACCCAGTGAAGTTAATAATATATAGAGATTTATATAGCGCCAATATCCAGATGAGTCCTGCTCAAAGGCGAGTCCTGCTCAAAGGCGATGTTTGGCAATGGTGGAGCCAAGGTGGGGTTCAGGGGGTTCGAACCCTGCAAGGTCGCTGCAATAACGGTGTTAAGAGCAGCCAGGTAGGTAGATAGTGTAGTTCAGAGTTTTCTGAAGGTTCGTAGATGTTGAAGGTACTCTGCCACCATCTGCGGGGAGGCCGTAGTGGGGGACGAGACGCCCTTCTTCCTGCAATACGCTTCAAAATTCTTCCATTTGTCCTCGTAGAGTGACCTCGTAGAAGTATGATACGCTGTAGAAATGGCAGTAGCCAACCATTTAGAATAGCCCTGGGCAGTTAATGACCGATGTAGATGCGCCAAGCGTGCAGATTGAGCGTAAACGGGGACCAATGTAGCTGGTCGGAGAGCGGATGTATCAGGAGATCTGGTCTGGATCTGGTTCGGCTAGGTCTTGAAGGTTTACGAACCAACTTCTGGCTGGCCAATAGGGCGCGACCAAAAGCAGAGTCATCCTCTGAGTCGCGTGCAGTTTCACTAATATGTGAGGAATAAGGGCCACTGGCGGAAACGCGTAAGCGTTCAGGTCCGCCCACGGAATGGCTAGAGCATCGAGGTCCCAAGCCAGAGGGTACGGAATCGGTGAGACAAACCGAGGCAGCTGATGATTGAATCGGGTGGCGAAGAGATCTACTGTCGGAGTCATCAACAGAAGACAAAGGGTCTGGAACACCTGAGGATGTAATCTCCATTCTGTTGGAGAAGGACGACTCGTCCGGGACAGAGGATCTGCGATGACATTCTTCACCCCCGGAACGTGGTTGGCTCAGACTAAGATGTTGAGAGAGTCCACCAGATCGAAGAACTGTTGGGTCCACTGCAGCAGTTGATTAGACCCCTTGGACACCATCCTGTTGATATGCCAAACCACCGCTACGTTGTCCGATTGGATCATGAGGGAAGTTGCTCGTAGGACATCCTGCCAGTGACTGATTGCAAGAATCATCACCCTGAACTCCAGAACGTTGATGTGACAGGCGTGATAGCCGAGACACCACAGCCCTGCCACTTGTTGATTGAGAAGATGAGCTCCCCACCCGTGTTTAGATGCGTCCACATACAGGTGGTGAGACGGAACAAACGGCCCTAAACAAACTCCGTTGCAAACATTCAATTCTTCCATCCACCACAGGAGATGGGGGATGGGGCTCCAGAGGTAGAGTGATCAAGGCAATGGGATCTTCCACTCTGATGTAAGGCGCTAGAAAGAACTGCAAGGGACGAGGTTGTAGTTGACCCCTGAGGGTGAACGCCTGAGCCGACGTCAAGAGGCCCAGGAGCTCCTGCCACTGACGAAGCGTCCTGGGGTGCGCCAGTGCCAGAGAGACCGATCGCTGTATCTTGCAGAAACGATCCCTCGGGACAAAGAGTTTGTTGACGTCTGTGTCGAACACTGCTCCAATGAATTGAAGAGGGCACGTAGGGACTAGTTCCGATTTCTGCAGATTGATTAACCAGCCTAAATGGCAAAGAAGCTGTATCGCAAACTGCATGTGACGAAGCAGAAGGGCATGATTGGTCTGCACCTGAAAGCAGTCGTCGATGTAAGCCTCAAACACTATTCCCTTGCGGTGAAGGAAACTGGTGATAGGCTTCGGTACCCGTGTAAACAGCCACAGGGCCGAAGAAATTCCAAACGGGAGGACACGCCACTGATAGTGGGTGCCCTCGAAGACAAGGAACTTGCGATGAGCCATGAAGATCGGGATGTGCAGGTACGCATCCTGGAGATCCAAACTGACCATGTAGTCTCCCGGATTGATAATGGTCTTGAGGAGTGCAAACGATACCATGCGAAAATGGGGTGGAGGCTGCAGAAACCTCTCGTTGAATATCTTCATGTTGAAGATTAACCTCTTTGTCCGAATCCTTCTTGGGGACCAGAAAGATTGGAGAATAGAACCCCGGGACGGTCAGAGCCTGACCCAGGGATTCGATCGCAAGTTTCTTGAGTAAGGTGTCTATTGTGGATCGATGAACAGCCGTCTGCTGAGCGGGATACGTTCTGCGATCTGGAAGTAAAGTGAGAGGACGATCCCCGATGATTGGCAGCTGAAACCCCGTGGATAACATGGAGAGGACGTAAGGTTCTCCCAAGATGATCCAGTTGGGAGCATAGGTCCCAAGCCGGCCGCCTACTGGGGAAGTCAGAAAGGGCACGACTGGAGGCGGAAGAACCTAGTCACGTTCTAATGTCATCAAGTCACTGTTTGTCTGGCCTTTGCGAATTTGACTGGTCGGCAGTGGAAGCTGGTCGAGAAGCAGAGAACACCCGACGTTGACGGCTGGACCGTCCTCTGCCAAAGGATCCCTTTCCACGAAAGGAAGCAGTAGAACCCACATGCAGGTCCGGATTGACAGGAACATAACGGGCTGGTCGTTGACGACGCAACGATTCCTCCACCTGCAAACATTGGAATTTCAACAATTCCACTGACACCTGTAAATGAGCATCTTGACCAACTCTGTTGGCGACATGTCTAATCGCCCCATTGGAAAGAGACCTGCCAGACCACGGCTGCCGAAAGAGATCAGTACGGAACCTATCCTCCCATGAGGATAAGTGCAAAGGCCCCGTGCCACGCACAGCTATGACATACGACATACGAAAAGAAGTGAGCCAACTGATCCAGAATGGTCTGAAATCGCTCTTCCAATAGTACCATCGCTGCCCGAATATACGCCTGTTGATGGGACATAGCATGTGCAACCGACATAGCCACCGATTCGGTAGTCATCAACACCATGTTGTGTGGCGCCATAATCTTCCATATGACACCATCCAGATGCAAAAGCTCACGATCCTCCACCAGGAACGGCGAGTAGGCTTTCTGTTTAGTTCCCAGCAATGTCATCATCCACCGGAGGGGAGACGATCAGCGTAGAGAAACCATGCACATGAGCAGATGGACATCCCATGAGGCAACGATGAACCCGTAGGGTCCCTGGCATTGGAAGCAAAAGCTGAGCTGAGTGGACCCAGCACTGAACTAGACACATGAGAGGTGAGCGCTGAACCCTGAGGAAGCATCGAACCAAATGCCACATGAGTCAACCTTGAAGCCAGTGAACTATGAGTAAGCGCCGAAGCACGAACCCCATGAGAAGGCGCCGAACCAGGAGCCCCAGGAGCAAGCATCGAACCGGGAATACTGTGAGTTAGCGACGAACCAAAGCCTCCATGAATAAGCGCTGAACCGGGAGCACCGGGATTAAGCGCTGAACCGGGAGCACCGGGATAAAGCGCCGAACCGGGCACACCGGGAGGAAGCGCCGAACCAGAGGCAAACAAGAGCGCTGACCTGGAAGCAAGCGGCGCTCTGAATGACATCATGGGATCGGTAACAAGCGGCGCTCTACCAACAGATAACTGTCCTGATGTGAGCGGTGCTGGAGCAGCAAACGACGCACTAGTATAACGTGGTGGTCCATAACCCAACGG